GTCCTCGGAGCGATGGCCACGGGCTCCAATTGGACGGTGGGCACCTGCCGGCCACAGTTCTCTCCAAGTCCCGCATTCTGAGAGTTCTGGGAAGGGCAGGGGAACCGCGGCCATCCCTCCCGCACAGGGGTGGGGGCGCGCCTGCCCCAGACAGACACAAAGGGGGTGTGTCCCCTGCAGCCCCAGGGCTTTGCGCATGAGGCCCCTCCCAGTGCCCATCCAGGCTCCGTCCCCCCTGGAAATCGCCAGCAGCCCCTGTGCACGTGAGAACCAAGCCTGACAGGTCGGGGCGTGGGGTGGCTGTCCACCCATCTCACGGTCAGGGAGTGTGGCTCTCTCTGGGCATGGAGGACACGGGTGTGTCCCAGGTGGGGAGTGGGGTGGGCATCAGCCTCGGTGTGGGCTGGCCGCTCTCAGCTGCCCCAGGGATCCCCCTCCGGCACACCCTCCCCATGGATGCTGACTACCTGGCCTCTGAGCCAGTGCTGGTACCATGGTGCTGGCCTTGCTCTGGTCAGAACCGAACCCCCACCCAGCTCTGGGACGGTGTGTGGAGATGGGAGGTGGGTGTACGACCGGAGGAGGCCCCCTAGTAAGCCACAGAACCCTCATTGTTCAGTGTCCCATGAGGGCTGGGAAGGGCAGTGGGCAGAGACCACAGGCAGCCTAGACCTTGAGGCCACCAAGAGTGCCCACGAGTGTCTTGTCCTTGCATGTGGGCGACCTGAAGAGGCCTGAGTGGGAAAAGGATGACAGTGACCACGAACAGGCGAAGGGTGAGAGAGGGTCGCGGCACCTGAGTCTGCCCAGGCTGGGGCTCAGGGACGCAGACGAGGCGTGGGCCGAGAGTGAGGTGGGTGGCGGCTCTCCGAGCACTTCCTGCCCTGCTGAGGTTGGAGGCGGGTCCGGCTCCACCTGGGTCCCGCGAGGCTCCTTCTCCCAGGTACCATCAGCTGCCAGCCCCGCAGTGGGCAGCCCTGAGGCTCGGCCCGCAGGTGCCTGGGTGATGCCCTTCCCTTCGGCCCCCGCAGCCCCCGGTTGCTGTCGACTCCAGATTCAGCCTCCTGCTCCTTCTTGGCCCCTGGTGGTGGTGGGGGGGTCAGCGCAGCCGCTTCATGACTTTGATCAGCTTCTGGAAGGTTCCATGCCTGACCACACCTCAGCTCTGTGGTCACTAGCGGCTCCCCCAGTCTGGGAGTTTGCCCTCCAGGATTCCAGTGGACTGGCCCGCGGCCACTCTGACTGTCCTCAGCCCTCCCGCTTGTCTTTGGACTCTGGTATCGTTCTCTCCATGCACGTGACTCCAAGTGGGGACAGGCGGGACCCATGGTGGTCTCAGCACCTGGGGGCTTGGATTGGGCCAGGGCCCATGGACCTAAAGTGGGGTCAGGTCAAGCCGGCTGCAGGCGTGCATGCAGTTTCTACAGTGGACAGCAGGGGGGCGCAGCGACACTGTCTTATTCTCCAACCTGCAGCGGCGGCGCTCCCACCTGGCTCGGGTCAGCGGCAGAGGAAGGTCCCTGGCTGCCTCCCCCCGCACTGCAGGAGCCACCCACAAACGCTCTCTTGTCAGTGGGTGACCGTTGTCCTCTCTGTCCCCCAGGCCCATCTGGGAAAAGAGCACCTCACCACAGGCAGGAGGCACCTGGGAAGGGCTTTGTGTGAGCCAGGAGCGTCCAGTTGGGGCTGCGCTGGTCTGGCCCAGGGTGGAACCAGAGGGGCCTCCTGCACACACAGCCACCTGGTGGCTCACAGGGTCAGGACCACCCACCTGGACCCACCACACCTGGACCCCCAATACCGGCACCTGAGACACCTGCACCTGAGACACCTGGATCTGAGATACCTGTGCCTGAGACACCTGCACCTGCAACACTTGTGACAATGGACTTGCAACACCTGGAACGATGTACACCTGCACCTGTGCCCGTGCACCTGTGTGCACCCGAACCTACAACACACCAACAGTGGCACTGGTGGCCTGGGCTGCCTCTGTGCTTGGGCAGCAGGGACTGGGGCAGGTTGGCTGCAGGCCGCGGGCTGTGGTCCCTGCTGGTCGGGGTGCTTGGCCCTAGAGCCCGCTGGAATCTCTGGGCTGGAACAGTGCCCTCGGGAGGGGAGGGCACGTCCCTCCACAGGTGCCACCCCCGGGGCCGCGGCCCTTCCTGCCCGCAGAGGAGTCCCCGCCAGAGTGGACCCAGAGCTTGTCCTGCTGGGGAGGGAAACCGGGGTGGCCACAGGCCGAGCTGGAGCCCGGCCACGGGGACCAGCCGAGCTCGGGCCGAGGTTTCCGGTCCTCCCTTTGTCCTTGGATCAGATTCCCAGCCAGCGGCCAGTGCCAGCGGCCACAGTTCAGGGGCCAGAATGGATATTCGGGCCGACGGCTGTGGCTGCTGGTGCGCCTCCTCCCCCAGGCCCTCCTGTATAAAGGGGGCACTGACGGGGTGGCAGCAGACACACGTCCGGAGGCAGCCCAGGGCGAGGTAACCTCGAGGGCAGCCTGTCAGAAGAGGCGGCTGCAAGCACGGACCTCGCGGGCCAGGAGCCGGCTGAGCTGGGGCTGGGCTGGGCTGAGCAGTGCTTGGTGCTGTCGGCTGCTGGAGCTGCTCCTCCAGGGCTGTGGGGATCGTGCAAGATGGTGCTGGGGAGAGAGCTGGGATGGTGTGGGGGGCAGGGTAGGGGATGGGGTAGGAGGTGGTCCAGGGGAGGTGCCGGGATGGTGCGGGAACAGATGCTCTCCCGGTGTCTGGTTCTGCTGCAGGGGACTGGTCCTTCAGGGAACGCATCGTTGTACGGACTGAGGCATTCAGCACCATGAAGGGCTGCCTACTGCTCCTTCCGGCCCTCTGCCTGCTGCTGGGGGCTCTGGGAGGTGCGTTCTGGCCCGTGCACCCTCCTGTACCTCAGTTCCCAAGGACCCTGCAGTGCTGTGGGGGTGTTTCTAGGGCCCAGTGATTGACACTTCTTCCTTTGCAGGGGCCAAGCCTGTGCAGGAGGCAGGTAAGTATGTGCAACAGCTGCCAAGGTGCTGGAGACGGGGAGGCCGGGGGCCGGGGTCCCCTGGAGACGGGGAGGCCGGGGGCTGGGGTCCCCTGGAGACGGGGAGGCCGGGGGCTGGGGTCCCCTGGAGACGGGGAGGCCGGGGGCTGGGGTCCCCTGGAGACGGGGAGGCCGGGGGCTGGGGTCCCCTGGAGACGGGGAGGCCGGGGGCTGGGGTCCCCTGGAGACGGGGAGGCCGGGGGCTGGGGTCCCCTGGAGACGGGGAGGCCGGGGGCTGGGGTCCCCTGGAGACGGGGAGGCAGGGGCCTGGGGTCCCCTGGAGACGGGGAGGCCGGGGGCTGGGGTCCCCTGGAGACGGGCAGGCCGGGGGCTGGGGTCCCCTGGAGAGGGGAGACCGGGGGCTGGGGTCCCCTGGAGAGGGGAGACCGGGGGCTGGGGTCCCCTGGAGATGGGGAGACAGGGGCCTGGGGTCTGTTGGGGGCGGGCAAGTGGGGGCTGGAGTCTTAGCAGAGCTGATGAGGCAGGAGGGGCCTGCCTGGGTCACTAGGCAGAAGGGACTCTGCACCCCAGTGGAAGGGCCCAGGTCACCCCCTTCCCGGCTGTGCAGCCCCGGGGTGCTCCAGGTGGGCAGCGGGGGCTGTGGGATGGGCAGTGTTCGCTGGTACCTTCCAGACCCCAACGCGGAGCCGCCGGCCCTGCCCTACTGGCCTTTCTCCACCTCGGACTTCTGGAACTACGTGCAGCACTTCCAGGCGCTGGGCGCCTACCCGCAGCTGGAGGACCTGGCCCGCACCTTCTTCGCGCACTTCCCCTTGGGGACCACCCTGGGCTTCCACGTGCCCCTCGGGGAGGAGTGAGGGCAGCGGGCAGGGGGCGGGCGGGGTTGCGGGAGCTTAACAAACCCGACCCCGAGCAAGCGCCCAGCTGCTTCGGAGCCCCCGACCCCGCGCGAGTCCCCTGATTGATAAACCCCAACGTGAGCGCGAGCCCGGCTGATCAATAAACCCCGCCCGAGCATGCGCCTCGGCTGATCGATAAACCCCGACCCGGCGTGCTGATCGATAAACCCTGCCCGAGAGCGCGAGCCTGGCTGATCAATAAACCCCACCTGAGCGCTGGAGCCCGGCTGCTTGATAAACCCCAATGTGCGCGCGAGCCCGCTGATCAATAAACCACAATGAGCGCGCTAGCCCAGCTGATCAATAACCCCCAGCCATGCGCGCTAGCCCGGCTGATCGATAAACCCCAACGTGCGCGCCAGCCCGCTGATCAATAAACCACAGCGAGCGCGCGAGCCCGGCTGATCGATAAACCCCGCCTGAGCGCTGGAGCCCGGCTGATCGATAAACCCCAATGAGCGCGCTAGCCCGGCTGATCAATAAACTCCGTCCGTGCGCGCGAGCCCGGCTGATCGATAAACCCCGCCTGAGCGCTGGAGCCCGATGATCGATAAACCCCAACGTGCGCGCGAGCCCGCTGATCAATAAACCACAAGAAGCGCGCGAGCCCGGCTGATCGATAAACCCCGCCCGAGCACGTCCCGCGTCTCTCGCTCCCCTCGCGCGCACCCAGCGGACCCCCAGCGACTCCGCCTGGGGCGCCCGGGCAGGTCACCGGGCAGGTCACCGGGCAGGTGGCCAGCAGGCCCCGCCCCTCGCGCGGGCGGGGAAACCGAGGCAGCGGGTCGCGCGCTCGCGGGGGCCCAGGTCGTGTCCAGCAGCTGCGCCGGGCCCTGCGCGCCCCGCCGAGCCCCCCGCCCCGACTCCCCGGGCCGCGTCTCCCCCGAGCTGGCCGCGCAGTGACCGGCGCCCCTCGCTCGGACCCCGGGCTCGCGCGCCCGCCGTGCCCCCCCCCACCCCCGGCCGGACGTTCCGGGACGCGACGCCCCGGGCACACGGGACGGACGGCGCCCGGTCCTCCGGGACCACCGAGAGGCCGCCCGCCGGCTCCTAGACGGGCCCGCCGGGCGCCGAAACCACAGAGGCGGCGCCGCTCGGGCGGCTAGAGCGGCCTCGGCGGGCGCGAGGCGGAAGGGGCGGGGCGCGGGCCGGAAGCGGCGTGGCGGCCATGAAGCCGGCGGTGGACGAGATGTTCCCCGAGGGCGCGGGGCCCTACGTGGACCTGGACGAGGTGGGCGCCGCGGGCTGTCCGGGAGGGGGCGGGCAGCGCCGCGGGGGAGGGCGGGGGGAGACGGGTCCGCGCTGCCGAGGGGACGGGTCAGCGCCGCAGGGACGGGGGAGACCGGTCAGCGCCGCAATGCTGCTGTGGCCTGGCTCCTGCCCGTGACGTCACTTCCCGAGCCGCCTGGCGCCTGCGGGGGACCCTCGGGCTCGGGCAGCGCGGTGGGCGGGAGCAGGTGGGGGGGGAGGGGCAGCGTTAGTGGACGGGCCGTCGGCGGGCGAGCTCCGGGCGAGGGTGGGGGGTGGGGGGCGCCCGCCCCGGTTCTCAGCCCCGGTCCCGCCCCAGGCAGGGGGCAGCAGCGGGCTCCTGATGGACCTGGCGGCCAACGAGAAGGCCGTGCACGCCGACTTCTTCAACGGTGAGTGCGGGGACGGGACGGGGCGGGACGCGGGTGGGGGGCGGGGCCGGGGCGCGGGTGCTGCAGGCCCAGGGCGCTGCGGACCCCCGAGGTGGCCTCTGGGCGCCCCCGAGCCTGCCGCCTGGCTGTGCTGGAGGTGGGGCCCTCCCGGCTCTGCACGCCCCCTGGGCTTCCCTGCTGCCCCTGGCTGGCAGTGGTCCGTTTTCCTGGGCCCGGTGGTCCCTCGGGGCGGTGGTCTGCCGCCCCCCCCCCCCCCCCCCCCGCCGTCCTTCCGTCCCGCTGAGACCCGGCCTTGACCGCCTCTGCCTCGGTCTGAGCTGGTGGCGGGGATGCTGCTGGCCCCGGAGAGTGCTCAGGCCACCTGTTGCGGAGTGACCCCGGCTGAGGGCCTGTAAGAGGGGCGCAGCCGGCAGGAGCCCCGATAGAAACGGCGGCCGCCGCCCCTTTGTCCGCCCGAGGTTCCAGCGGCCATTCTGGTGGCAGCCCGCTGGGGTGTGTGCCCACCCCGCACTGGGCAGGACGGACACTGGCAGCCGTGGGGTGGGGCGTGCAGGAGCTCGGGGATGTCGGGGTGTGGGGGCTGCGGGTCGTGTGTCCCCCCGCAGAGACTCCGGCATCAAGAGGGACAGATGGACGGACCCAGCGGCAAGCCCGGGTCTGGTCAGCCGCCTCAGCAGTGGGTGCGGGCACTGTGCTCGCTCCCGCCACCACCCCCTGGGGGCTCCCCGTGTCTCTGGGGGCTGACATCACGTGGCTGCGGACCCCCTCCCCCGCTCTCCTCACCATCCTGCTCTTGTCCGTGTAGACTTCGAAGACCTCTTTGACGACGATGACGTCCAGTGACCTGCCTGGGGCGGCCTCCTGATGGCCTGGGGGACCTGGGCGGACGCACCGAACGGGACTGAGGTCCCACCCACGTCTGTCCTCGGAGGAGACTGTCATTCTTCGATTAAACATGTCCTCGTTTGTGGCTGATTCTAGCTCTCGCCGTGGCGATCAGCACTGTCCTGGAGCTTCTGTGAGAGTGTGTGAGGGTGCGGTGTGTAGGTGTGGGTGTGAGTGAGAGTGTGCTGTGTGCATGTGGGTGAGAGTGCGAGGATGTGAGAGTGTGAGGGTGCGGGATATGGGTGTGAGTGTGAGGGTGCAGTGCGTGCCTGTGGGTGAGAGTATGAGGGTGTGAGTGTGTGAGGGTGCCGGGTGTGTGTGTGAATGTTTGAGTGTGTGCATGTGTATAGGTGCAAGTGAGAGTGTGGGTGTGGTGTGGGTGCGGGTGAGTGTGGGTGCGGGTGAGTGTGGGTGCCGGTGTGAGTGTGAGGTGGGTGTGTGAGGGCGTGGGTGTGCAGGCGCGGGTGTGAGGGTGTGTGAGGGTATGTGAGGGTGCAGTGTATGGGTGCGGGTGTGCGTGTGGGTGAGTGAGAGGGTGTGTGTGCAGGTGTATGAGGCTGCAGTGTCGGCCGCGCCCGAGTCTGCAACCCTGTCTGGGTGCGCGTGTGCTGCAGAGACAGCCCGTGTCCTTGCCTGGGCATGTGGCTGCTGTGGCCCCAGCTGGACTTGTTGGACCACCCTGTCTGTCCCCACCGGGCCCAGCGCTCAGGCTCAGCCTCCCTCAGTGCCGCAGCTATGAATAGACTCCGGAAGTCCCAGCCAGGTGCCATGCCCGCAGGTGCGGGCTGGCCAGGAAGGTGCCGCCTCTGGCCGATGCCTGCCAGAAGAACCGGCGGTGGGAAGGGGTCCTGCCGCAGAACCCCCGGCCGAGGCCCCAGGCATTGCTGAGTCAGGAAGCAGGGCCCCACCTCCTCGGGCCATCCGCACCTCCCGGCCAGCAGTGGTGGGCACTGGGGGGAGGCCCTGATGGACACTGGGGATGGGGGGTCTCTTGGTGTGTAGTTCAGAAAGCGTGGGTGTGCGGGATGCAGGTTTGGTGGCCAAGAACCGCTCCCTGGCTAGCCCATGGCGATGGACCGGAGGAACGGGGAAGTGGAGGGACGGGTCCAGGCTGGTTGGTAGTCAGGGACTGTTTATTTTTCTTCTCTCATCCCCACATCTCTTTCTCTTACAGCGTAGGCATTTCTCCTTTCTCCCCCCCCCCCCCCCCCCTTACAGCATAGTTATATAGAAATCGTGAAGGGTGGGGATACACAAACCTGGGGTTGAACATTGTCATAACAACAAACATATAAAGACTCCTTCAAGGGAAGTTGTAGGAGATTAACTCAGGGACAAAATCTCATGGTGAGGGTTCAGCACTCCAGGTTACTAGGAGATCCGCTCAAGGGCGGGATTCCATCCAGGTGTGTTGCTTTCTCCTTTCCGCAGCTAGTAATCCGTTTAAACAATCGTAGTGAATTTGCTTCTTACTGATATCTCCCCTCTCGGAGAGCCCGGCAAGCTACCGAGAGTATTCGATATGCCAGACACAGTAACAACAAAGTCTCCAATGGAGACGTTACTGGGCCCGCTTGAGCAAATCGACGATCAACGGGAGGGCCTTTACCTTTACCTTTACCTTTACTGATATCTCTAGTCATTTTGTATGAACACAGTAAGAGACACATTAAGCTTAAAGGTTGGCTCTTTGGGCCGGAGTGATAGCACAGCGGGTAGGGCATTTGCCTTGCATGGGGCCAACCCAGGTTCAGTTCCCAGCATCCCACTTGTTCCCCCAAGCACTGCCAGGAGTAATTCCTGAGTGCAGAGCCAGGAGGAAACCCTGTGCATCGCTGGGTTGACCCAAAATGCAAAAAAAAAGGTTGGCTCTTCCTGGGGACATCTGGCTATATATCCCAGACTACAGTTCTTAGGCCAGGTTAGTCTTTCCTAACCCTAGCAGGGTTCTTTTTGAGTCTTGACAGAGTTTGTTCCATGACCGTGCTCTTAACTTCTTATACTATGGCGCTTAGCTTGTTCCTTTTGATGCCAGGGTAGCTTACCGCTTGCCCTGGTCCATCCAGTCCCTTTGTCAGGACCCTCCTTTTGGGGATGTTAGGAAGTAAGGGCAACTGAGGCTTCAGTCAGGTAAATATGAGTGCCCAGGAGTAAATATTTCAGAGTCAATTCCCATGTTACAAAGTGTAGCATAACTGGACATTGCTAAACCATACAAAGGACATACAGGAAAGAGAAAAGCAATATAGGATTATTAGGCAAGCTACGGAGAGTATCCTGCCTGCACAGCCAAGCTTGGCAAGCTACCCGTGACGTATTCGATATGCCAGAAACAGTAACAACAAATCTCACAATGGAGACATTATGGTGCTCGCTCGAGCAAGAGCAAATGGGTGAACAGCGGGAGGTCAGTGCTACAGTGCTACAGTGCTTGATGGAATTGGATGTGCCTCAGGGGCACTGGTGTGGGGGTGACTCGGTAAGCCTAAGCTCCCTGCAGGAGGAGTGAGGATAACCCACTGTTACCCAACACAGGTTTTGCGAACACTATTTTTCTTTTTGGGCAACACCCAGCAATGCTCAGGGGTTACTCCTGGCTCTACACTCAGGAATTACTCCTGGCGGTACTAGGGGAACCATATAGGATGCTGGGAATCGAACCTGGGTTGGCCGTGAGCAAGGGAAATGCCCTACCCACTGTGCTATCGCTCCAGCCCAGCGATAGCATAGTGGTAGGGCGTTTGCCTTGTGCCGAGTTCGATTCCTCCGCCCCTCTCGGAGAGCCCGACAAGCTACTGAGAGTATCTCGCCTGCACAGCAAAGCCTGGCAAGCTCCCCGTGACATATTCAATATGCCAAACACAGTAACAACAAGTCTCACAATGGAGACGTAACTGGGCCCACTCGAGCAAATCGATGAACAATGGGAGGACAGTGATCCAAAACAGGTGGGCACTGTGGAGTGGGCCTCCTGGTGGTCCCTGTCGGGGGAGGTCTGTTGAGTCCACAATGCACATCATATGAAAAGCTGGAATTCAGGTGCCTGGGGACACTGGCCAGTGTCTGGCCAGTGTGGGCCCAATGGCAGGAGACGAGTGGTCAGGGCTGGGCGTTCTCCTTGGCCAACAGCCACAGCCTGTGCTTCATCACTGGCCTCGGCCATCTGTGCAGTGACAGTGTGGACAAACTGTGCCTCCGTCAGTCCTTTAAGGACTTGGCTACCCCAGCAGCCGGACCCGGGCCTGGGCAGGTCTGTCCTGCACCCGCGAGGTGGCTGTGCTCTCCCATTGGGCCTGACGGTGAGGACCTGCCCGGGCCCTCGCTGACCATCCGTCTCCTCAGCGGTTTTGGCTGTGACGTGTGCACTGGGGCCAGGCGGTCCCACCCATAACAGTTTCAGTTGGTAGAATCATTGCACCGTTAAATTGTTGCCGATGTCTAAGCAGTTTTCAAAGCATTTTGCAAAATAGGGGGTGTGATCATTACGTAAAGCTTTTGAAAAATTGTGGGGCAAGATGGCCGGAACAGAGCATTTTTTAAGGAGCATTTGGCTGGTGGAGGAGCGCCTGGAGGCTGGACTGGGTTCGCCAGTCCACAGAGGTGTGGGGAGACTCAGCAGTGGCCAGCCTGAGGCCACAGAGAGGCGGCCCGAGGGGAACCAAGCTCCAGCCATCGTTAGGATAAGCAAGATTGGCAAACAGGAGCCTGACTCCAGGGAAAGAGAACTCAAACGGAGCAGAATGGATGGGAAGGTCACGGCAGGTCCCCCAGAGACAGACCCTGTTCCTGTACGACTTTATGCCACTTACTGGAACTCTGGAAGGAAGGATTCGTTCTTAGATTCGTAAACCTCTCAAGACTGAATGAGGAAGAAGTGGAAAGCCTGAACAGTTCATCGTGAATAAGGCGTTTGAAGCAGCCGGGAGTAAGCCCTGAGGACCGCCGTGTGGCCCCAAACAAAATGAAGTAGAATTTTCCTCTACAGCGACAGTCACTGCAAGGGAGGAAGGAAGAGCCAAGGGCCTGGGGAGACGGGCTGGGGGCGGGGCAGTGGACACTGGTGACGGGCTTGGGGCTTGAACCTTTTACCCCTGAAGCTCAGTCCACAGTGATTCAATCCATTAACACAAGAAAGCCGTCTCTTGGTGACTTCATGCAGTGACTTGGCTGTGTCCAGTCCCGTGGACACCGACTCACACACTCCCCGGGGGGGTCAGAGAATCATGCTGAGTGGGAATGCCAGTATAAAAAATGACACATGGCAAACCACAACACCCAAAAGGAGAGAGAGAGAACAAAAGGGAATACCCTGCCACAGAGGCAGGGTGGGACGGGGAGATGGGGGGGGGGGAGGGATACTGAGACCTGTGGTGGTGGAAAATGGGCACTAGTGGAGGGATGGGTGTTTGATCATTGTACGATTGAAACCCAAGCACAAAAATTTGTAAATCTACAACTGTACCTCATGGTGTTTCACTAACAAAAATTAAAAAAAAAAAGTAAATGATGGAGAATGGGCACTGGTGGAGGGATGGGTACTGGATCATTGTATGACTGAAACCCAAACACAAAAATTTGTAAGTCTACAACTGTACCTCATGGTGTTTCACTAATAAAAATTTTTTTTAAAAAAGGAAGATTAAAAAAAAACCAAAAATAAATAAATAACCACGACACACTGTGATTTTACCTATGTGTCATTTAAAACAGCAAGAAAAAGACATGAAGACAGTTTTAGTGGTTTCCAGCCATTAGGAGGCTGCTAAGAGAGGATATCTGTGGGTTTTTTTTTTTAGTTGTTTGTCTTGTTTTGAGTCACACCCGGTGGTGCTTAGGGTTACTCTGTGTTCAGGAATTACTCCCGGTAGTGCTCGGGGACCATCTGGGGTGCTGAGGATGAGATCTGGGTTGTCCGGGTGCAAGGCCAGCGCCCTCCCTGCTGTCCTCTCTCTGAGTCTGCTGTCTGTGGTTTTGGTTTCA